CCCCCCCCCCCCCCCCCCCAAACACTGCATATTTGAAAACAAATAGAATTGTTTTACAAGGGTTTAGATTTAATTAAATTGTTACATTGTAAATTCCTATTCTGGTCCTGCAGAATAGTGACTTTTACTTCCATTATGGTGAATTCAATGCAAAACATGATACTGATAAATTCATACACTGACTATGGCCAGAAGGATGGACAGAGAGTGTGCTGTGAAAACCATGTCACAGTTAACATGTATCTGGGGCATTCAGCTCAAGTAGTGTCTATCCTGGATCACTACCCATGTTACAAAACTAATATAACATTTTAAAAATATTTGTCCAGTAATACGTTAATATTATCTTCTATTGGATTTTGGCCCTGATTTTGAATATAAATTAGATACAAGTATTAGAAGACTTCTTTGTGATAAAAGTAGACATGTGTTAATCACATACAGAAAGAAAGTTTGCCCTGCATGGCAGTGTAAGGTTGATACATAATACACTTTCCATCTTGTCACTTAATGCAGTCACATTTATAACATTAAAACTGGCACAAGTCAACTGCATTAAAAGTTATTCAAATATGTGTGATTGATTAGTTTGTCCATGGAGTTACTTTTATAAGAATTTGAGTTCGAAGTGTAAAAGATTCAAGATTTGACTGACATAATTAAGTTGATGTGCAAAATAATAATGACATGTTCATTTCTCGTAAAAAAATTGACAGTGGAACCGCGGTTCCGGAGAAGTTGAAGTAAATACGTCTCTGTATTTAAATTATATTTACGTCTCTGTAATGTAATGTATTCGCCACGGTGGTCTAGCGGTCAGAACACTAGCCTTGTAATACTGGGGTCCTGGGTTCAATTCCCGGTGGTGCTCAGATTTATAACTTGTGTTGGGCAAGGCTGTGGTCTAGGCATCACGGAGTTTTCCTCCAGGGGCTTCCCCGGTTTCTCCGTGGCATCCCAACAATTACTCCAATCACACACACAGAAGAAGGCAATGGCAAACCACTTCTGATCATCTGCCAAGAATGTATATATGTATGAGCAGGTCCCTGACAACCTGAAGGGGTTGGAAGGATCCTGTTCATAATATATGGACCTGTCATTAGACAGAAAACTAATAATAATAAAATGTAATGTAAATTAATGTAATGTTATCTTCAATGTTATCCATCTTGTTACGAAAGCGGATTGTTCACGGCAGTAATATAACACAACAGTGCCGAGTAAACAGATGACGTTTTCTAGGTAACAACAATGCACGCAAGCTAACCATTGTTGTCGATTTGTTGATATGGTTCTTATACATTTTCGTTACACGTTTTCATTACACTTCTTTGCCGAATGATCCTTCCGTATAGACGTATTTACGTCAAACAAATCTGCCTTTAAAACTGTAATTTAGACAACTTGGAAAGAAAATTAAATCATTTGATTGAATACAGTAAGAAACAACAAATATTCCCCTAACTTTTACATTTTTCTCACCTCTTATAACTTAACAATGGAAGTTAAAATCATTATCCAACAGGTTTCCAGTTCTAAGCCACAATGGGAAACTTTGAGCCACTGATTACTTCTGTTTTCAATTCCAGAACAATAAAATGAGAATTTGGTAAACCCTGTGTGCAGGTATTGTGAAGAAATTTGAATGACCATATAGTTCAATATAGTGACTAGTACCTAATAAATATTTAAGCTAGTGTTTTCAGTGAGCAGTGTGTATGTGTGTGAGAATGTGAAAAAGGAAATTTGGTCCAAATGTGTTGGCATTATGAGGGAAGTAAGTGACATGGAGAAAGCAGATGCTAAATTCTGCATTTCAAGGAACACTATATTTTACTTTGGTGAGTATATATTGGATCCTGTGTTAAATCCTTGTAAATAATATTTAAAAATAATATCTTAAAAATAACCACAACTGATTCCCATTTAGTTCTTCCTGATGCACCTTTTATGGCCATTCTAACTCCACCATCCAAAAATCTCATAGTAAGATTGTGAGACAAAAACCAATAGAAACCTTAATTGAATTATGTAATGATCAATTTGTATATATATTAAGTGCTAAAAACATGTTACAAATTTCGTTAAGAAATGCATCTGAGCACTAATTCCAGTCTTGGGCCATGCAGCTGTCCTGCTATTTGTCAGATATTTTCATCATGTAACTTCTTGTTAATGTATTAATTGCTAATGAAATACATTTTTCTCCACATAGATTGTGAATTTGTATGTTATATAAGTTTCTGCATTTTTCTGCTGAGAAAATATACAAAAACTATTACTGTATACTGGAGTATGCGAACTTAAACTGTGTTTAATTTTAGTTACAACATCCATGTCATGAAGTTCTGGGATGTAACTAATTTTACATTGAAATGAGAATAGAGTTTTGACTACTGACTTTTTTGTTTTCATTTCCAATCATATTTCATTCCATATAGCTGTTGTGAAGCATTCAGTAACATTGAGGGAATGAATGCTTTGTACTGTAATGATTTGTATTTTACAAGGTACTTTAAATTTAATTTTCAGTGATCTAATGCAACTGTAAATGTTCAATGTGTACTATACATTTTACCGTCACATTGCACTGTGTTGTCTGAAAATTGTCGCTTCCTGATATAATATTTATTAAAATACACAGATCTGATAATCACTTTTTGTGTGTATTTGTAGTACTTGTGTACAATTTTTACGTCTGTGATATTCAAAAATATATCTGAAGAAAATTTTAATTGTGATTCATTTTGTTCTAGTAAAGTTATATTGATTTAGAATGGTATTTAGGCTAAACTATCTATCTATTTTCTAGTCATCTGATGTATCTCTCCAGAGGATAAGGAAGCTAGCACCATTTTAAGGCATGTCATTTTTCCATATGTAAGGAATTGGATTTGTTCTAATAATTGCTTTTCCCTTCCTTTTTCAGAGTTAAATTAATATAATAATGCTTGTACTGATCAGTGAAAAAAGATAGGTGTTTTTTGCTGTAATTGGAAGCTTAAATTATTTTAAAAAGCTTCAGTATGATTGACATAAGCTGAACTTTTCAATATTACTAACAGTACTCCTCTTCTTCTTGTATAGCTTGACAGTCTGAAGTCAAGCCTTGGCCTCTTTACTAACACTACTAATATATACATATTTTTGAACTGCTTTCTTTTATCTTGTGTCAGTCTTAACATATCAGCAAGCTACGGCAGATTTAACAAAGAAATTGAAGGTGTTGGTATTCACCTTGAAGTTCTGTTAGTTACAGGAACAGTATGGCTGCGTAGGACTTGTAACAGATAGTTTAATCAAGTCTTTAACACACAAAAATAATCTTCCAAATCCTTCAAGTTTCTGACCATAGCTGTGTGTGTGAATTTCTCATACATTTGAATGTTCAGTCCATTTCCTTCTCCATTTGATTTGACCAGCATAATAGTATTTGGTGAAAAATAGAAATCATGAAGCTCCTCATTAAACACTTTTGTCATTATGTTACTGCTCATCTCTTAAGTCCAAGTAATGTTTTCGTCGCCCTGTTCTGAAATTCCCAATCCCTTGCAGTGAAAGACCAAGTTTTACACATACAAAACAACAGGGAGAATTACATTTTGATCTTTTTGTTTTGATAGACAAGATTCTTATATAAATGGCATCAAGCATCCCAGAGAATAACCTGTATCAAATTATGTCTTTAAATTCTGCTACATACTCTTGAAATAAACTATAGAACTATGGCTCTTAGAGAAGAGGTAAATCTAGAAATAGAATTTGTTAGTTTTAATTAGTTTACATGTGGAATACTGAAATTAAAATTTTGCATTCAATTTCAAGTCATTCGCTGGAAGCTAGCCTCACTTCAATTCCCAGCCTCGGGACAACGGATTATTCTCAAACCTCCACTTCACTTCGATAGTCTATGACGTAGCAACTAGTCGTGCGTTGTGTGGATGAAGCGCAAAGTTTCACAAAGCCTAAAGTACTGTACTGCAAGCAATCGTGGAAGAATAACAATTTGAAGCTGGTGGTACGTGAGGTGAGTCAGATGACGTAGAACGTTAATTACGCCGAACTTTATCCAGCTTAACTTAAAGGTGGCTGTCTTTTGGGATGTTGCGCCGTGTCGTATCGTAAAAATTTACTGACGTTTCAGAAGTGCTTTCTCCCTCCCTTCACTATCGTCGTCCTGATGATGGAGCAGAAAGCAAATCTGAAACGTCAGTTTCTGCCCGTCCACATGGTGTAGCATCTTATAAGACGGTCGTCTTCTTACTCGCTGCTGTGCGAACCAGAATCTCACTTAGCTTAACCTAATTTGATTGATGAAAGACGCGCAACAAAGAATCGGATTTGATACCCAGCAGCCCTGAGGATGAGAGTAGAGATTGTTCTCGAAACGTTGGCAGAGGATTGGTTTATTCACCATCCAGCCACCTGACGCAGGTTGTAACCTGAGAATCTTTCATCGACTTCAGTCGCCGCCAAAGCTTCACTTTATACATTAACCTAACTTCTACAAAATGTTGATTTCTAATTAAATATTGGAAAGCACGAGAAGAAACATTCGTTTAATTTATGTAATAGAATTACACACTTGTGACAATATAATGTATTTGAAAATAAAGTGTGAGCAAAGTGAGATATGTAAGTGGCTTTTATAATTTTAAGATATTCCAAGAAGGAATTTTTTACAGAACCTGTAGAGTGAAATAGTTGTGTATTAAAGTGTCCTTCTTTGTTGCAATGGGCAGTAGATTGTTCTCATTATGTATATTTTCAAGTGGACTTTAGTGTGCTGTGATCAGACACAACAGCCCTCTCCTACATTTTCCCATTAGACCCTGTGTAGCTATATTAATTGTGTCATTCTGTTGAAGTGTCTTTGAAAGGAATATTTCATTATATTGAGCTTCTGGAAAGTGTTTCTTTGCATATTTTAGGTATTCAGTATTGCGTGTTTACAAGTCTGTATTGTATTCTGTGACTTTGTATTTGTTATTAATGATTCATTGTCCTTGCAATACTAGTCTGATCATTGACATACCTTGTGAGGGGTCTGCTGAGTTCCCTATTTTAAAATACTGCTAATTATCAGTTAAACAGCTCTCTCCTATTCTTATAAAACCCATTCCAATGGAGGTTTTCCATTAGCCAGAGAACTAATAGAGAATTCTTTACTGTTAAATTTTTCATACTAAGTACTTAATGAAATATGTTATTCAACAGTTTCAATTAATTTAAATTTTGGCTCTCATCTTTAGCAAAAATAATTTAATAATTTGTGGCTTTTCAGGTTTCCTCTTGAAAACCTCGCATTAACATAGAGAATTATGGATGAAATTAGACCAACAGCTCTCTTTATCACTTTTGTAATCCACAACTGAGTGATTTTAGAAAGGATAATTCAGTGGGTTAAAGTAAAGACGCATAGGACAACAGTCATTAATACTGTAATTTCACAGGTTGTAATAATAATACAGTAATATTTGTTACACTATATAAAAATATTTAAAGTACAGGGTATACTATCACATACACTTATCTTACTTTTGATTTCACACCTCTTACAAATTTAAGTAACATACATCATTCTTCAGTACTTAAATTACTAGTGCTTTCTGCATTGCATTTGCATTACCACAGACTGTGTGAAATATAAAACCTAACTTTAATAACTTGTACCATTTATTGCTATCTATTAATGATATCAGTCAGAGTTTCATAAAAACATAGGAATTAACCTTAAGTAAAATATCACAAATAAATTAGGACTCTTTATTTCTCTACAGACAAAGAAAAAATCAACGGATCTCACATAAGCTACATGGGGACAGAAGTAAATGATGTAAGCTATTATTACTATTGTCAGTCTTCACAGGAAATATTACTTTCACTTAGGGTTGCCACTTGTAAATTAATTTCATTCCCTCAGTCTGTAATATGAAACAGAATAAGACATTATCAAATTTTCTTCTGCCAATATGCAATTTCAGGAGGATTTCAGTACCAGTGTTAAATTTTGCAAACATTATTCTATTTTTGACTCCTTTAAGATTTTGTGATTCATTGCTGTTGAACTTGTCAGCTGGGTACGCAATTAATTTCATTTATGGGTACTGAATGTTGTAAATTACTGCATCATAATTTGTGATATATGTATATATATATATATATATATATGTTAAACAAAACAAGAGCATTTTAATTACTTGTAATTACAACAAATTCTCTTCTTACACATTTTACACCAGAAATAAAATGCAATTTCTCTTTACACTTAGACCGTTGTTTGTTTCTCGGCACTACAACCCTGTTGTGGGTTTTCGCCGCCTGCTTTTTGGACTGACCCTGCACAGTTTCTACTCAATCCTGATTTGACTGCCAGAGCCATCTAGCAGTTAATCAGGAGACTTTTGGGTGAGAAATGGCCGCTGAATTTTGCTTACGAAACATCTCATATCATGGTCGTAAGGTTCTTTTACATGCCGTAAATCTTCGACATGGGACCGCCGGCTTTACTTCCCCTCCAAAGGAAGTTGTGCTACCGATTTTTATTACCCTTAAAAGTCCATCTAACTTGGCCGGGATTGAACCCGTGAACCTTGGGTCCAGTGGAGAGCACGCTAACCATTAGTCCACCGAGGGCAACACACTTAGAAAGTATTTCTCAGAATACATGTAAACATGCTGGTTGTTCATGGATTCTATAAAATATTTGTGGTTTCTTGATACAACAAGGAAATTAAAATAATCTTTGCATTAGCTATATAAGATTATTATTAGAACTCAAACCTCAACATCTCACTTAAAAGTTGGATATTTTGAAGTGCTTAATATCATACTTAAGTGTGGCAACCCTAACTGTGAAATTTGATTTAGTATCACTGAAAACCTGCTCTAGTACCATAGAGATTGTGTGGGAGTATTTTAAGGCTCTTATGGAAGCATTGACCCTTTCTCTGCTTCCAAGATCTTTGGCTTGTGTCCAGGGAGTGTTTTAGTCTGTTTGTTCCCGAGAGTTTTTGTTCTGCCTGAGAAATAGTCCTCTATCTCTTGCAATGTTCGTCCCTTGGTCTCAGGAAGGTATAAATAGAAAAAGATTGTTCCTAACAATGAGATGCTGCCATAGATCCAGAAAGAACCATGGTTGCTGGCTGCATGCTGAATGAGAGGGAATGTCTTCACCACAGTGAACACAAACAGATGAGCAGAGCAGGTTGTTAGGCCACCAATAATTCCACGTACCTGCAGCAGAAAGAGAATCTCATATGTTGACTTGTCCTATTCTAATCCAGTATCAGTATATAAATGCCATTTAATTTTTAATATTTAACATAGAATGTCCTTTATTTATGTCTACAGGTGGTATACGTACCAGAAAGAAACTATAGAGAGATCTGATGGAATGTTTTCTAATCTGTCATCCATGCAGTGAACTTTGTCACTAAGATAATGACATGTTACTCTGTGGTGGATCTTGGGTCCCCCGCTCTGTACACTTAGTCAAACCTACCCACATACCCAGAAACATGTACTTTTCAGGGGCATGTAGGTCAGTTTGCTGCTAACTACGAGTATGAGCGAGGCAAGTTGAATTTTGAGATTTTATCGAGATGATATTAACAAGCATAAAAATATCAGTTTTTAGTATGCTGCATGTACAAACTATAGGTAGTCAGGTCTGCACAAATTTCCAATAAATTTATGAACCACCACCTGAAACTGGGAGTAAGTGAGTGTGTGTGTGTGAGAGAGAGAGAGAGTAAAAAAATTGTAGGCAGCATGGTGATGTGACGCCCAAGACTTGTGCACATCTGGATGTAGTAATTAAATTTTAAACAAATTATTTGTTACATTCAAAAGTCTAGTGAAACAATGGTAAAAACTAATACTATATCATTGCCCCCCCCCCCTCCCCCGACATCAAAAGCTGTTCCGACAATTTTCTCCCCATTATTCATAACTGATTTCCTTCCCCTCAAACACTGATGAAGGGCCGTAATAAGATAAAAGCTATGCAATAAATAGTGGACACATATAAAATATTAGTTTTGATTCTTCACTATTCAGTTAGATAAGTAAGTGAGAATGAACTTACGTTCTTTCATATTGTGTAGTCGTAAATTTAAACAATCCTTTTATATACCAGCTACTTTAAGCACTTTGACCTATATCATAAACATGGCACATGCATTTCTGTCTTTATTAGAACATCATTAGTGTTTTTGTCCGGCATGTCAGATTTGATTAAACTTCCTTATAGCCCTAAAAGGCAGGAAGTTCTGGGTTTAGCAGCGAGAGAAAGAACACTGCAGCAGTCATGAGGACAGATTTTATTAATTTTAGTACTTCTTAATAAGTTACAAAAAAAACATTTTTATAAGTTGATATTTGGGAATAGTATAATGTGTTTAAGTGTTCAAGAAAATTAAAATAATGATTTTAAATGCAAGATTTATAGGGCTGTAAGGTTTAAGCAAATGTGACATCTTGGACAAAACACAGACGATAGTCTAATAAATTCATCTAATGAAACAGGATGATAAAAGTTGCTGGCATATTAAGATGTTATTTGTCAGTAAGAATCTTACCAAATGGACAATGTGTAAATACATTTTAGGTGTGTGGAAATGATATGCTAATTAAGTCCGTAAATTGTTTGATGCATAAAATCAGAAAACTGCAATTTCTTTATTCATTTGTACAGTATAGTTGAGGTAATTTGTGATAACGTCAGTTGTTTGTTCTCATTTATCTCGCTCCATTGCTTTCATTTGGGAATGTCTTTGTTCATTCTATTTTATCACTCATTGTTCTCACGTCATGAAGTGCCACAAAATATGCATCTGATACAGTTCTTTTAAATGACATAATTTGGTTATTTATCATCGCAAATTCTTTAACTTATAGAAAAAGCAAAAGTTTACTCTGCTAAACAGTTCAGTTCTGGAGTGTTTTCTATTATCTGTAGGAGGGATTCAAAGTTACTCATTCAATTTTATTTTAGGAATAAAAATTTTGGTGTATAAAAGAATAAGTTGAAAAGCTACATCGTTACAGGACTAATATTCAGTGGTGATTCTGCTTCCACAAGAGACTGAAGTTTAATTTTCATAATTACATATCCCATATCTTAAGAGTACTTATCTATCATGCTGTAATGCAAGCTTAAAATTTTATATAACGTTCATATCACAGGTTCTTTTGTAGTTGTAGTGATTACTTAGTTACGAGATATTTCAACAAATTTATTTTCAGTAGCATCTCTGAATAATTAGATATTATTATTATTATTAAGTGTTCTGTCTTACGACAGGTCCATTGCTCTGCCCAAAAAGAGCTCTCCAGTTGTCCCTATTCTCGGCTTCTCGCTTTAATTCCTGGAACGTCATCTTCTTTCCTTGTTTAAGGTCGTCGGTTAGCTGTATCAATCTTCTTCAGATACAGAAAGTTTATTTTTCGCTTAAATTTGAAAATGTTCCTGCATCAAATTTCACTAGTGTTTTCACAGTCAGCGTGTGTAGTAAATTTGAACAAGCAGATGAATAGATATGAGAGCTTACTTTTAATATTAGTGTTGATGTGCAGTAGGTAATTAGTCCTAAAAGGTCATAAAATTTACCTGTGTCGGGTAGACTTCACCAATCATAACCCATGGAACAACCAGATAGCCAAGTGTAGACGCAATCGTGAAAGTAAATATGCAGACTACAGGAATCCAGGTTGCTGTTGGTTCAATACCTTCTGCATCCCAGCCTTGTTTCACATACATGTAGGAACCAAGTCCAATCATTGTCAGTCCGCAGCCAATTGCTGAAAGAACAAAATGTTGTTAATTAAAAACTGCCCTTACTTTTGTTGTGAATAAATGACAAGGTGCAGCAATGCACTTACCTGATATCAGAGTGAGCGGTCTTCTGCCACATCTGCGGAGGGAGATGCAAGCGACAACGGTGGACAACAGCCGTACAATACCCAAGATCACTGTTGCCAGATACTTGTTCATTTCAGCTCCAGATTCCTACAGAATAAGATAAATTGTGATGTGAATGCTAGTAAAAAGTCTTTTTTTGTTCTTTGGTCCACCAGTCTGTCAAATCCTGGTGCATAACTTGAACACTAATATTAAAAGTATAGTGTCAACAAGGGTTGATATTTTCACTCTGCAGTTTTCTGTTGTAAGAATAAAAAGGGAATATGTAGGATTGAATGAGTTGAGAGTATTAATTGAATGCTGAAGCAGTCAACATCTGTATTTAACATGTTAGTAGGTTCTTGCTCAAGAGATTGCGGAAGATGAATGTCTGAGTCAGGGTAATTAGTTATGACCAGCAGTTAGTGTACATGTCCCTGATACAAATGTTTGTGAAGTGCATTAGATTATCACATAGTTTTTATGTGAGAAAATAGTATTCTTACCTGAAAGACTTGAACTGCATAGAAGGTTACTGGATTAACTCCGGAGAATTGGTAGATACCAAAGTAAGTGAAGAGGATTACAAAAGGTTTTAGTGCAGCAGGACTTGTAAGAGCACGCAGAGTTTCTTTTAAACCACTGAGCTGTACATTATTCTTATCAGCAAAATCTATGAGATTGCCTATTTCCTTGTCCACGTCACAGGTTTCTCCTCTGTAAAATGAAAACAATATTGAGACTAGTTTGGGCAGTACTTTTGAAGGTTTTTATCTGTTTTTTAACAAAACTATAGAATTAATTTATGACAATTGTAATACATTTAATTATACCACATTTGTAATCGTTTTGTTATCATAATTTTTTATTATCTTCAGTGTTTATAACAGATTTAATCCACTTAAAAATTTTAACAAATTCTCACACGCTACACATGGTGGCATTTGGTTGGGGGTGGTTGAAGATAATGTAAATGTCAGAGATGACAATAAAGAGAAAGGTTCTGAGACTAAATTTGCTTTATAAATGACAGTTGTAGTGAAGTAAACAAAATTTGTATGGATGGTAGTCTTCATTTGTGCACCTAGTAACAATGTCTGCCTTTGTCCGTCAGCATTTCAACAATTATCCCCAAAAATGATGTCATAAATATATTCTTGAATCACATACTCTAAATGTATTTTATGATTCTTGTACTGTACAATTTAAGTTGTTATATTAAGTTTAATCAACATTTCATAACTGCATAATACGTAGTAAAAGGGAATCATTAAAACTGTGTTATTACCTGAACTTTTTCAGTGCTTCCTTCGCTTCTTCCGTGTGTCCATGATTCAGAAGCCAGTTTGGAGTCTCAGGCATGAACATAATGAGGATAAGTGCCATAATGGGTATAGCAGCGCTGATACCAGCGAGCACTGTCCACGTCACGACAGCTCCCAGAATGTACTCTATGGTTACCCCAAGAGACACCCCGACAGACGCCAAAGCAGACAGCATTCCTCGCAGGTGAGGTTGGGTCACTGAACACAAACCATGGACATGTTCTTGCAAAGTTCCATAGCTAAGGACAAATAGCAGTATAGTTTCTTAAAGAAACGGTTTGGAAGCCTGAAGTGATAATGCCAAAAAGTAATTACACTTTTATATGAATAGTTTACATAATTTCTGGTACAGGGTTTCTAACTGATTCTTGTACAAACAGTGTGTTGGGTTTCTGCTTTATTTTAGACTGATTGTAAAAATCATTTCTGAAGTCTGACATGAAGCTATACAGAAAATTTTATACTTCAGTTGAGAGAGTTAGTGGAATAAACAGTAAAAACATAAGATTTCCATAAGTAGTTTAATGTCGTACTGCCATTCTAAAATTAATAATAATTAAAGAACAGCGGACTCAAAATATGAAAAACGTGGATGAGGGGTGTATTGAATTGTTTTAAAAATGCGTTACGAGGATAGATGACAAACCTTCTCCTGTATATACCCTGGCTGGGGCACCAACCATGCCAGATCCAAGACCAACTAACAGCCTCCCAATATAGATCATCTCAACACTGTTGGAAGCTGAGATTAATATCCAGCCAAGTATGAGGGGAATTTCTGTTATGATGAGTGTACGTTTTCTTCCAATGAGATCCATGAGGTAGCCACTCAGAATACAGCCGATCGGGGTTGTTACAGAGGAAAGACTTGCTGAAAAAAGAATGAACGCTGTGTTCTAGTGATTTTATTGAAACATAATCTTATAATAATACAGTAACATTATTTGTGTGGTATAAAATATTCTTTGTATACATATTCCTAAAAAGTCAAAGTATACGGAGGGTAAAGTCTCTATTTAGCACACTTTCAGAAGGGTCTGTAATTTGTAGTTTTCCTGCCTACTTCATGATCCTGATCCTAAAAGTAAGTTGATTTACAAACAATTCTTTGCAGTTGCCATATTTTATAAAAGCAAACTGTTGCAAAAACTGCAGTGTTTCTGTACGCTACTGCAACAGGTTCAAGTTTTCAGGTCGTAAAACATTCGTGTAAAGTCAGATGCTTATTGTTTGAAGGTCATATAGAGAATTCACTTAAGACCCTGGCCACACGACCGTACAAAGTACGTCTGTTGCAACGGACGTAGGTGAGGACACAACACGAGCGCAGCGTCATGCGTCAGTTGCCCCAATGGAGCCGGAAGAAGCTGTTGCATTCCGTGGTCTTGCCCCTTCATAATTCTATGACGGACGTCACGATGTGCGTTACAATGGACGTACTTTGTACGGTCGTGTGGCCCCAGCCTAATCTGTATACTTACCTATCCAAGAGGCCTGTTCTTCATCAATTTTAATGAAGCTGTCTGCTTCTTCAAGCTGAGGTATTGCAACTGCGGAGAATCCGAACACTAGACCTGTGTTGATTGTACCCAAATTTGCTACAAATGCTGCAATTACCTGCAACAAATGGAAGAGACTTTTTTGTATTTCTTATTTATTTCTGTAAAAGATCAAGTTAGCCAAATGCTTTCAGTTGACTTTTAATTGATGGGTTCTTGGATTTAGACACTTTTTGAATGAATATTTGCTGTTGAATGGGAAGATTATTGAGACTTAAGAATTAGAATGAACGTGGAAAGAAGTGGTTGTTGCTTACATCAAGCATGTGTCTCGAGCAAGTGAGTAAAACTGCAACAAATCTTCAGGCGCTTATTTAAATTCTAGAATTCTTGAATATGCCTTTGAAGCCCATGGGTAACTATATGTACCATCTGCTTTGACACTGCATTTTGTCCACGGGTGTGGGATTTTTTTTTGTGATTCTCAGAACAAACCGATTATTTCCGTAAACAACATTAACCATTTGATCTTTGTAATGGAAACATATTATGTTTTATTTGTAATATGATCGGAATCTTTAAATATTATTTAGACAAGCTTTGGCTAAAAAAGGGATATGAACGAGAGAGCGACTAACCATTGAGCCAGTACATTCAGAGTATACAATTCAGAATGAAAGTCTTTAGCAAATAAAACATCTACAGTTAATGTTTGGTTTGTTAGATTCACACGCTCCCATATGCATAATTTTAGATCTAACTTCATACAATGTTTTAAGTCTAACATTCAGGAATTATAGTTACATGTTTTTTAAAAGAATTAACTTGTCTGCAGCAACTTGAAGTTTTATGACGTGGAGTAAAGGTGCCCCAGATCTTAAATCATTATACCATGAATCATCAGTCCCATGAACATTTAAGAGCTGGCTAAAGAAATTCTTCCACCTATTCAAAATTTTTATTGGATTTGCAAGCAAATTGCTATTATCATCCTTTACCAAATTAGTCTGAGGTTGATATCCTTTATTAAAATTATTTATGCCTATGTACAGGTCTCTGATATTAAGCTCAGTATTATTCCCTTTTCTTATTCGTAAAGGTTCTACTGGCTTCACATCTCACATTACATAGCTTATACATATTCATTTTGTTTGGGTCCTGCAACCATTGAAATTTTGTTTGCTCCCTTCGATGTATTAATTTTGAACATGCTTCATCAAACCATGGTTTATTTTGCTTTCTCCTGTAGTATCCTAGTTCCTCTTTGGCTGGAGTTTTGATACAGTTTGTGACATTTTCCCACTCCCTGTTGATATCCACACTTTCATTATCGTTATCTGTCTCTAAAATTTGAAACCTGTTCGAGATTTCAACTTGATATTGTTTCTTTACCTCTCCCTCACTTAAATCTTTCAAATCAAATCTTTCTGTGTTGTAATTTTGCTTAGTTCGTCTACTTACTGAAAGCCGCTCCCTCACTGTTGCCACTACCAGATAATGGTCAGTGTCACAATCTGTCGTGGTTATTCGTACGTCTCTTTCTTCCTAATAATTAACAGATACTTCTACCAAATTTGTCCGCAATGCACAGAGTTCTTGTTTTCCAGTTGTCCAGAATAAACACAAATTTATGCTATCGAAGAACTCTGAATATTTTTACGATACGAGATGAGAACATGAGGTGCATATTGATTTTTCAGAATAAACTGGTGTCTCTGTTTTTAAGCTACATGTACATTCATTTGAACAAACATGAGTTAAGACGCATCATGTCAACATTTCTGTTTGTACAGATCCTATCTAGGTATTCACATTCTTGATATGTGGGGTTCTCTAGGTGATGAAGATGGTCTTCTGGGTTGTGACACCATGTGGACTCATATAGATGCCAGCATTTCAGAGGTACATACAGCCTGGACAAAGATAGATGCAGCATGTTTCTCTGAAACACTGCTATCTTCAAGGCCACACAATATCACAACCCAGAAAATAAAACACGACATGTTCACATTCTTATTTAAAATAGTAGGGAGAACCTACACTCAAGAGCCGGGATAGCTCAGTCAGTATAGTGACTAGCTACGGGCTGGATGACCGGGGTTTGATCCCCGACGGTAACAGAGGATTTTTTCCTCTAGCCTGTGTGTCCAGACCGGCTCTGGGGCCCACCCAGCCTCCTATCAACTCGATAAAGTATTATTTTATGTTTTTATGTTTAAAGAAACTGTACTTGAGAAAGAAAAGTGAGCTTACCTGTTTTAGTGCACTGCCCCTATGCGGCTTAGCTTCATTTTTTAAGCCAGGGCTTTTCACTTCAAGGATGGTGACGTTTTTCTCATTTTCAGGCTCTACAAGAGCCTTACTCTCCACATCAATTGGTACACTTGTACTGCAATCACACAAAAAAATAAAGCATACCTCGAGAAAAAATAACCATAAAAATTTAATGATTCAGTTAGCTTTATTAATGGTATCCAGTGGAAATGATAAAACGCATAATGCTAAGTATTTTTTTAAAAATGTATTTCTATCGGTGTTGAAAATTCCCTGACTGTTTCTTCAAAATGAATGTTTGTTCATTCCGAGAAATGGCAAATAAGTATCTTTACTATGGGTATGCAAATAGCAACAATAACTTCATGTCTTGGTGTGTAGAACTTGCCCTTACGTATTTTCCAGACATTTAAATTACACAGCAATATTTGGATTCATTTGAACTGCTGGTTAACGAAATAAAATCACAGGCAAATCAAATAATTAATGGAATTAAATTGCATGACACAGTTTGCAACAGTTGTTTTCTTCTAAATGAAAACAATGGAAATTAAATATTTTCGCGTATTCTAGACCTATTCATATTTATTCATATAATTCTCAACTTTGTCACACTATCATCTTAAGTTAACTGTATTACAAGTGGTTTGAAGAGTTTTGCATGATCCTGTAAATGTGTAATTCAGAAGTATTTGGATGTAGAAAAAAAACTCATAAAAGTATAATTATTGATGCGTTTATTATGCAACATACTGTACTTACATACAGTAGTTTTTTGTACTTTTATTATTGAAAAAAAACACACATACTGGTGTATTATTGGCTTTCATAAAGTGTGTTCATAAAATGAAATAAAATTTAAACACGTTAATTTTTAGCTATATACTTGCTTGTATATCTCATTACGAGTGCCTAAAACGTAGGCAAAACACAACTTTCTCCGGTATATCAGAAAATCACGAAAGGAGCCGACATTCATAATTTCAATGGGAACGTAATCAGTTTACCCAGCAAAAATGCTGCATGGAACTGAAAACATTTGCGTTACTAATCGCATGTAGTCTGATGCCTGAAAAGTGTACGCAATTTTAAAGATCTTGACTCATTTAATTGAAATTATTGGCTTAAAGTTAAAGATGGGCAGATCAGAACAGCCAGCTGGCAGTTGCACAGAAAATACAAAATTATGCTCCTTTCATATGCATTAAATACATTTTGGTATATACTCAAATTTTGATTCTTTTTTTCCCTCCGTGAAGAAATGTTTCACTTCGTTGGCAATCACAGAGACATTGTTAAGACGTGCGCAATATAAGCTTTGAGTCGCAACAGTGAAAACTAAATGTAATTGTGTACTTACCTTTTCATGTTAACGGATGTCGGTATAAAGTGAAAACTAGGATGATGATGATGATGATAACGATGACTTGTTTCTTTTATCACAGATGGATTGATCGATACATTTAATGTATTTCAACAATGTCGCCATTCAATAAGCTCTTGTAGTATGTTACTGAATATATTTAATGTAAAAATATTAATTCACTGAATAACCTATGTAGTAGTAACTCAGAGTTAGCGTAACTAAACAACAGTTCGTCCAGTGAGGATGATAACTTGAAAATAAGTTAAAGGCCTGTAGAACAAAGCGTGTGCAGTCTTTACACATATCTTCGCTAGCTCCGACTTCCAACGTTGAACTGCGCTCGAGACACGCATCCTGCACCTTATATTTATACTAATGTGACGTCATACTACAATAAATGCCTATTCCCTGTCCAACATCAGTGGTTTAGAAGGTTAGCGGCATAAGGTTGATTATTTGTGCAAAGTTCGGTGTGTTCAAGATTCAGTCGATTATTCTGTTTACACGTGACATTCAGACGTACCGTTTCAGGTGATAAGGCATATAAAGCAGCATGCTTTTCGTACCTAGCAGGGGACGATGTCTTGCGCTTGCGCAGGACTCCGCCCTTAGTTAGCTTTTTGGTTGGTTGGACTCGTATGCTCACAAGCTTTTCAGTCAGGTTCCGAATAAGAAGTTGGTGAGTGATGGACTTTTCTGCTGCATTTATCATGTAGACGTCTTCCTCTAGTGGTATCCACTGGCATCATCTTGCCGGCCGTGTAATATTCCACATGCGACGCTATACTTGCATAAGATACTTTTTTTATTACATACCATTGTTTTTCCCTGCGGATTCGAAATTTTTCAAGGACTTCGTCCAAAAAAGGCGTGAGGGAGAATGTACTTGTGTGTCAGTACCAGGTCCTTTGTGAGGAAAACTGAAAAGCATGGATGTTGCGTTTCTAATTATTTTAAAAATTATGTATATATTTTGGTCTGTTCTAAATACCTACTTGAGAAGTACAGTTAATATTGACTTCTTTACCTTTCAGAAGTTAAATGAATTGTAAAACGTTGTGTAAATGTTTAACTGTGTCGGAATGCCACAGACAAATGTTCGCCTATTCTGTTTCTCTGAAGAAAGGGTCCATGAAGTCATCGGACAGATATCTGCGAACTACCGCTCTTTTCTTTCTTTAATTATTTGTCTTACCCTCGTTTCCTGTTGATTAGTCGTCTGCCTGACTTTCGCCACCTAGGCACACGTGCAGTTTTTGCAAAAGATCATTTTTATTCGCATTTTACATTAGTTTGCGTCAGTTCCACTGAGAATAATTCAGAACAAAAACGTTTGTTGAAAGCTTACATTTTGATAGAGCGGAAAGAGTTTTAAATTAAAAATTATGTCTGTGATCTTTGTGAAACTGTTTCGTTAGTATAGATTTTCAGCAAGCTCACCTTGAATTGGTCACACGCAGCTTTTCAAAGCAGAAACCCGATCTTTCTACATAATTGTATGAAATTTCGTACGTTCGAAAGTTTTTTCTTGAGGATTCAGCATGTCAGAGCGAATTCGTAACGTTACCCAAGTATTAATAAATCCTAAGATGGCTGTCTTCTGGGTTGTAGCACCGTGTAGTCTCGTATAGGTTTGCCGACGATTCAGAGGTCATACTGCCTCCATCATCAGGGCTGTAAGTCATTCTGGAGGTAGCAGGCACCTCTGAAACGTTGGTAAATCTACTAGGCTACACGCCGCTACAAACCAGAAGACAGCCAACGATTAACGTAGTTTACACACGACTTCAGCATTTTATTATGTGATTTGGTGTCACATGAGTTACTGGATATGTTTTAGACAACCGCAAAGTGAAAATTTTTGAAAAAGACTAAAGTTGTTTACAGAATTGCGTAAGATTTCGGAAATTTGTATATTTTAACATTCTTTTATGTTAGATGTGTGGCTTACGATACTTCATATATGTGTGTAGTTTTCGAAAAAAAAAATGTTTTTCGCCTTGATAACGATAATTGACCGGCCAATATGGCCAAACCGTGAAATTGTGTTTAAGAAATTTCGTACGTTTGAAAATAACTCGCAAAGATGAATCACTAATTCCTGTAATAATTAATGTATGGAGACCAGCGGACGTGCGGGTTCGTCCTTTGGTGACAATTAATGTCAAGCTTCACTGAGCAGGAAATGGGATTTATGAGTCTTCTATCAAAACATGTCTGATAATGAAATCGTGATACATTTCAGGCAAGAAGTCCAACCACCGGACTTCCCGTTTGCTTTGTTCGGAGACTTCGCACACTAACGTCATACGAATGTTTTTTCGTTACTTTCGTAGTAAACATCCGGGCTATAATACACTGCTGATTGGACGTACCATCGGATCCTTGGGACCGCGGTACAACCCACAGGACAGCCAACTTCGTACTCACCGCCGTGAAAACCGCAAACCTTACAAAGTGTTTCGTTCACGTGATCTTTACTCGCTACGAGGCAGGACGATATTTCTTGATGTTGCACATTTAATTGATATTGCAATAGTGATTTTGTTTATATAGCTGTTTGATAGTATATAATATATTATTTTATCTATCGATGTAAGGAAGGAAGGAATTTTTCTCTCAGGTTAATCCTTAGCGACATGCAGAAAAATTGTATTCAGACCCTAAAATAATGTGAACCTTGAATTGAATTTAACTGAAACACGTCAACATTACACTCTAATAGAACTGTATGTATCGAATTTTGTTAAAATCTGTCAGTTTATTGTTTTACTTAGAGTGATTTAAAGTGAATGGAAAATATGTAATTATTCAAGAATAGACTAAAAGTAGTCTCGAATGTTAAAAATTAGCTTTATGCGAAGTCTTTTAAAGGATTCGGAGATGAATATAAATTTGTAATTTTTTTTGGACTTTGTCCATTGTCTTATTTATAAAACTACAACTTTTGGAAAATCTATCTGTCCGCGTGTCCTCTTTTTACATGAAAACAAGCAGAATCCGTCTTTTAAAACGTTGTACTTTTATAATTTTGTAATTTAGATGATGGACAAAGTCCAAAAGAACAATGTATCGTCATCAGAAATCTTCAGTCTTCGGTCCATGAGTAATGGCTCTTAAAATGGACCGAAATAGTTCGAAATCAAAGTAGTTTGACAAAATTTGGTGAACATATACCGTACCAATTTTGGTTCGTACTCGGTGTTACTTGTAGACAGTCAGACGCCGGTCGCGGATTTCAAATTTATTTGTTGAAAAGCACCTAAAATTTCAAAGCACTAGAAACGTCGAACAAAGTAGGCCTGTATATTTACAGCTGCGCAGAAGTCCAATGTATTTTGAGCTGCTGATGCCAGTCTATGTTGAAATACGCAAAGACATAGACGCATTCAAGGCGGCCTGGCTGGTAAGTGAAGGGCAGTGCGTGACTGTCTTACGCAGAATAATTAAGATACGCATCTGCACAATAGACAAGACTATTGCCATGTTCCCACATCAGTGTGCGCTAGTGTCATTAATCAATATGTGAGGCACAGACTTAGACCTTCAAAGCGTTCCACATGTTGTATTTTACTAGGGCGGTTTTATTTTTAATATACACATACGTAGAAGTAGTAAAATGTTCACTGTTTACACTTCATACACCTTCCTCTTTTATATGTTTAAAGCAGGCGTGGAGAAACGGTTTTCCGCGGTCACCTTGTGTCTGCTTTGCACTTAGATTATTTCTTAGTTTAGTGTTTGCTTATTTTGTGGTTAATCTGATGACGCGCCCCCAACTTCATGCGTTATACAGTGCCTAATAATAACATTGTTAACCGGTCGTGACCTGTTTTAAAGATTGTCCCAGAATTTCACTGGAGTTACTGAGGAAACTAAGCCTTCACTAAGGATACCCGATCTCCGGGCCGGGAATGGAAGTCGAGACCTACCGGACACGAAACAGGGCTGCTTAGCGGTTTTTAGTGTGCTGGCTTATTCACGTACGCTTTATCAGCTGTAGGACTACAGATTGGTAGTACCAAATTGTAGGATAATAATAAGAAGGGTGTGGAAAGAAGCTGTCGCATTTGTATGGAGATGCTTATTAAGACTTTGAAGAATTCCGGTCAGGATGTAATGGTTACCAGTTCAAGATTTAATGCCAGTATCTCCCAAATACGAAGTGCGAGTGGTCACCGCTAATCCATTGCGTTGCATGGGATCCTTATTATGGAGTTGAATACAGGTTGACTGTTTCGTCCAGTCAGAATTTGCTGTTAGAGGCCATTAGAGGTCATCCTCTCTTATCAGTTTTCACCTTCTGATCATGAACACGGTTATCCTGAGAAATAGTTAGTTTTGGAGAAACAAGTCCTCTTTAATGTAGGTTCGTCATATTACTTGTTCCGATGTATCTGAAATCCACAGCTTTCGTTAGGGTAGTGACAAAGTGCGTGCACGAAGTATTTGGATCTGATGACGGTAACTGCTGAATCATTTCTTTTAAAGACATCTATTAGTAGTTCGAATATTATTGATATGTGCCCGAATTTATAACTTGTGTTGGGCAAGGCCGTGGTCTAGGCAACACGGAGTTTTCCTCCGGGGGCTTCCCCGGTTTCTCCGTGGCATCCCAACAATTACTCCATTCACACACAGAAGAAGGCAATGGCAAACCACTTCTGGATCATCTGCCAAGAACGTATATGAACAGGTCCCAGTCCGAGAAAAGGGTGGAAGGATCCTGTTCATATGGACCTGTCGTCAGACAGAACACTAAATAAAAAAATAAATACAAGAAGTTACCCTTCAGAATCCTAAAATGCATCTCACCATCCGCGATTATCTAAAGGGATGTAGAAGTTGGGATTGCCTATGTGTGGTCTTCTCTGACATTTCGTGTTTCCCATGGTGTGGCAGTGGCTTTAGTCAGTCCGTTAGAGTGTTAGAAATTAAAATATCCATTTCGGTAGCTCCGCACGACACTACGTTCATTGTCTGCAGGCAATATTGGCAGCAAGTGTAAATGGCATTTTCAGAATTAAATTTGACCAATATATATGCAAATACTTTGCTACAATTTTTTGTTTTCCTGCATTTGTTTGCGAACGTTTGATATAAGAAAAATGTAGTCATAAATAATTGCAGAAGTACGTAGGTGTTCAGCAGACCAAGATAACGTTATGATGGTTTTGGATGACGAGTCTGCAGTAATGAATGAATTAAAT